TCCATTGTCATACTATCTAAAGCTTCTGCCTGTTCAGTGCACAGAGATTGATAATAAGAAAAAAAATTTATTCAGTTCAAACGTAAGAGTAATGTGATATTTTAACGTACTCCGTTAAAAGATATATACTTTGGAGCGTAGCAATAGGGCTAGTATGTGAGAATATGATGTACAGTTGAGGTATCCTTTATATTGCTAGGTCTTTTTCCGCATACATAAGAACGCTCTCAATCGCGGGTTGTTACTCCCTCGTTAGCACATCGTCTAGCATTCAGTAACAATTCATTCATTAAGACTACTGTCTATGTTGAAAAGACTGTGCCTCACGTAGTTATCCTTCAAGCGCATCTTGCGCTTCGCTCTCGAAGCAGGTATCAGTTTGCATTTTGGAGGAGAAACAATTACGAGCAAGTTTCAAGCTAGTTGGTTCATCTTTCATGGTATTTGTGACTGTGCAAAATATTTTTTATGTTTCATTATAAATTGAAGAGTCATGAATATAATTCATAAATTTAAATCAGGAAATGAGAAACCTTCAGCCATATTTGAATTGCAATTTTCTGTGATTTTTCAAGTTAGCTAGTCAATACATTGTTGACTCAGGACATCTAAACGTTTATAATATGCAGTGAGTTTCTGGGCAGCCAAATATTTTGAAGGCCTTGCCAAATCTAACCTCAATCAAGGCATATTGCGGTGAAGCAACGTCAGAATCATAACCTTGAAGTTTAAATTTTACTATTTCTGTCTTATTCTTACAATCCTTCTTCAAGATATGATTTTTCTTACTCCAACGGTCTGGCCTCTGGCCATTTCAGCATATGCTGTTAAAGAGTGGCGAAGTGAAAACTTTAAGCAAATTAAATCGAAGCCTATTTTCCAACTTGAAATTGAACTAAGGAGGTCGTAAAAACTGGCGACATGACCCTTAAGAATTTATAAATGACTCTCTTTGAGTACATAGAGAGTTCTGATTAATTCCCCTGTGTTAAAAGAATAAAGTTCTAAATGATTTGAGCCAAACTCTGAGATAGGATGCATGGCTATGCCTGCTAAAGTTGGGAAATATATGGGCCAAAATGAAGTACTGATGCTTTTACGATGAGATCTGCAAGATATCCAGCAGTAAAAATGCGGATAATGGAAAAAGACTGTGTTGGCAGTTGTTGTAATCAAGGTATCGCAGGCTGTGTGGAGCAAAGCCAATGTGGAATAATTTCCTGAGTCCTGACGCTTAATGGTGTAGTCGAGGTTACGTATTCACCTCAAAGGATGATGACACTTGACGTTTTCCCAGAGGATACTTAGTAAGATTTAAACATTTAATTTCAGTGATGGATGGACAGTATCAAACCAGCATTATGGCTAAGAGGAAAAGATGAAAATTCAAAAAAAAACTAGAATCCTCGTTTAAACTCAGTCACATGTCGAAAAACAAAACTCTGCTTCAAACGTCGCTTCTCTGCGAAAGCTTGCTCCATTGAGTCATTTCGGTACACATCGCATGTTTCTGTTGACAGAAACCTCACATTTCTCAAATGCTGCAGATAGATAGAAATAATGACAGGCGTAAACAAAATCAGGCATTTGTAGCAGACTCTTTCCGCATATACCTATGCGATCGATTTCAAGAACTAGCCTATATTTAATGTTACACTTTACTCAAAGTCTTCCACTATTGACCCATAAGTAATAATAGATTAACTTTATTTTTCTCTGAACTTCACACACTACTTCTTGAATTTCTCAACGATTTACATTCACAAAGAATACGAAGTAACAACTGGCGGTTTATTAGAACAGACAATATACAAATTCTTGTTCCTGCATAAACTTCTTGGCACACTTCGCACTATCGCTAATTCACCTTAACAACATACTAATGGAATCGTTTCTTGAGCAGT